CATTCCAAACTGGATTAAGGTCCTTTTCCTTAACAGTGGTGCGTAGCCTCAGACCATCAAAGCTAAGCTCCACAAAGGCACTGCATGAACCTTCATCATCTTCAGGATAAAGATTGTGGGCACCAACCACAACTACCCCTAGTTTATGGGGGTTGCTCATCATCACAGTAACATATGTGTCTGCGCACTGAAGAAATGGAAAATAACTACAGCCACCTAACCTGCAAAAAAAGAGAATTATTATATTAACACAGATATGTATATATATATATGTGTGTGTAATTGCATGAACTGACATGAAACAGAGGAGACTGATGAATTAATTAGGCGAAAATTTGCAGAATCAATGCAGAACATTAAAATGTTCAAAAAATCAAGCAAACTAAGGAGTTACTCTTTAATTGAAAAAAAAAAGAACCTTAAAATAAAATGAATTCATAAGTCATTGCCATAATATGAACGCACCAGATAAAATTGTTTACCTGATGACAAAAAAAACTGCAACAAGGGAACGAAGGCAACAATGACCACAAAATGGTGAAGTACTTGAAATGGTTAAAACAAAAAATAGTGCAAATCAGTCACTATATATAAGTGGGCATATGCAGGATTTTGGATATATATATATGTATGTATATATATACATATCCGGATAAACTGATACATAGATTTCAATTGGTTTTCTTTGTTTTTTGTATTGGAAAATAAGATTTCAATTGCTTAATAATGTTCAAGTGTGAGTCAATAAAAGAAAAACTCTTCTTAGAAAAAAAGGAAACAGTCCATAAAAATCAAGCTCCTGTTTACTTCTACAAACTCTTCTTAGAAAAAAAGGAAACAGTCCATAAAAATCAAGCTCCTGTTTACTTCTACAAACATACCTCTTCAGGCTGGGCATGCAGCAGCATCACCTTGTCAGGTCCTCACAAATTGTCCTACAAATATAAATTGCCATTGCAAGGCCATTATTCCACAGACTTCAGTCAAAGGACATGAGTAGAGTTCATGAAATGTTGACGAAGCAAATTCAAAATAGACAGGCAGATGATAGAGGAGCAGAAGATAGAATATAACACAAATTGCCATTGAAAATGCTTAATTAGAGAGACATGAATTTTTAATTAGAAACTTGATTGCTGCAACTGGTGAACATTAAAATATTATTAAAATAAAGGTTTGATCTAGTCTTACATGCGTGAACTCTGACATTTTATCGAATTTGGAGTCGTTTCCTTGATAAATTTTCATGCCAAGTCCATATTTTAGTATTGAATAGTTGGTTTATGTTATTTGTCCAAGATTCCTAAGTTTCCAACTATAAGTCAAGTCATATGGAGTAATCTGGCTTGATTTCAATAAGTGCCATCAAACTACAAGTGGGTTTTTGTCTTTAACACGACACTGCCCAATTTTATTTCTGTCTTGGATGTGTAAACTGTAATTATTGTAGGGAAAAAAGAGGAACTCTCTAACCTAGGACATTGTGGACTGGTGTTTTTCTTTTTTGGCGTTTTCTTGGTCAATGAGATGTGATTTTGAATTGTATGTTTATTGTATAAACTTGAAATATGGTCTTGGTTGACAGAAGAGAATCCCAGGAAGAGATTGATTCTTGTTGATGCCAAGTCATTGCTTAGTATTGGATGGTTCACTTAAACAAGTGCAAGATAGAAAATTTGCCAGTCTTAACTTTCAAGTGTAAGATGTTAGAGACCTTCCTCTCTCTGGAACCACCATATACGGCCTGAAAACTAAACAAGCAGAAACCGCAAGTCTTGCTGCTTTTCTGCTGCGTTTCAATTCCTTAAAAAGAGAGGAATCATGTTAATCACAGGTAACAGTGCTAATTCATTTGCTCCTCCTTTTTGTTAGTCACTTCATTTTTACGCTTGAAGAAGAGTTAACTGTCCTACATTGAGTTTACAAACTTAAAATTAATGCTTTGTTTGATACGTTCTGATGTTTTGAAAAGAAAATAAAAATAAAAACTTGCTTTTCCAGTTGTTAGCAGTTTGATCTTCACAAACCAGCGGAAGACAATGCAACTTATCCCTGAAAGTTTGAGAAAACTTTGGAACGAGTGGGAGCTTCGGGGTATGGTTCTAGCCAGTCTTGCCTTGCAAATTATCCTCATCCTGATTGGCAACTGGAGAAAACATTCAACCAGTAACAAACTCAGAATTCTTCTGTGGCTCTCTTACCTGTCAGCTGACTCAGTTGCAACAGTAGCACTTGGCATACTCTCCAGCAACCAAGAAGAATCTCAAGGTGATTCCGTAAACCCGAAAGTTGTAATAACCGCATTTTGGGCACCCTTTCTTCTCTTACATCTTGGTGGCCCAGATACTATCACTGCTTACTCTTTAGAAGACAATGAGTTGTGGCTTAGGCACTTGCTTGGGCTATTTGTCCAGGTGGTTGTAGCTTTATATGTCTCTTTCAGAGCATGGTCCAGTAAAGAGTTAAATTTTTTGGCAATACCAATGTTCATAGTTGGGATGATTAAGTTTGGGGAGAGGACTTGGGTTCTAAGATCGGCAAGCAGTGAGCATTTTAGAGATTCTATGCTTCATGATCCTGACCCAGGTCCCAATTATGCTAGATACATGGAAGAATATTGTTCAAAGAGAGCCCAGGGCTTCAGGGTTAACTCAGTTGAACTAGGAAGGGATAACTCACTAGTTGATGCAGTTGATGACGGTACCCAAAATGTGGCAATGTTAGACAAAGCCTACGACTTCTTTGAAACATTCAAACTGCTTTGTGCTGATCTCATCCTCAGCTTCCATGATATAGTACTCAGCCACTCCTTCTTAGAAAATACAAACTCCGATCAAGCTTTCGAAGTTATTGAGTTTGAGCTAGGATTCATGTATGATGCCTTTTATACTAAGTCAGTTCTGGTTTCTTCTGGTCTGGGTTGCATTCTCCGCGGTGTTACTGTTTCTATAACACTTTCTGTATTCATAGCCTTCCTGTTCTCAAAGAAGCAAGCTTACAGTGGAGTAGATGTAATTATCACATATATATTGTTGATAGGAGCAATCGTCCTAGAATCTTATGCTGTGGCATTGCTGCTTTCCTCAGACAGGACAAGGCTATGGCTGAATAAGCACAAAAATATGGTGGCGCGTCTCTTGGTTCTCTTGCGCAGTGCCGTTTCGTCAGTCCCTTTGGGTTATAACAAGAGGTGGTCTAATACCTTGGGACAATACAACCTCATCACATTTTGTCTTAAGGCTAAGCCAACGAAATGCATTTCTGTCCAGAAGTTCTTATTCATTTATCAGTTGTTAGAGAAGTATCGATACAAAGAGTTGGCGGGTATCCCCACTGAGTTGAAGGAGTTGATATTTGAGCAGCTCCAAGAGAAATCAAGGATTGGTTCCAATGTTGAGGCTAGCAAAAGGAAACAATTATGTGCTCGAAGGGGTGACCAGGTGCTTCAAAAAGCACATTGTCTAAAGGAACTTGGCTGGACCATCAATGAGGTTGAGTTTGATCAAAGCATCCTTCTCTGGCATATTGCAACAGATCTATGTTATTATTCTGATGTGAATCGAAACTCAAACTTGGTTCCTAGTGAAAACTGTGAAGACAGTAAGCTGTTATCGAACTACATGATGTATCTTTTAGTCATGTGCCCCTTCATGCTACCAAATGGGATTGGACAGATAAGGTTTAGAGACACATGCGCCGAGGCTGAAGAATTTTTCAAGGAAAAGAAAATAATGAAATCGGGTGAAAGGAAAGCATGCACAAAGCTACTGGACGTGTGCACAGACATCCTTCCATCTAAAGTGAAAGGAGATAGAAGCAAGTCAGTTCTATTTGATGCATGCAGGCTTGCTAAAGCTTTGCAGTCCCTGGAATCAGATAGAGGATGGAGTAATGAGAGAAAGTGGAAGTTTGTAAGTCATGTGTGGGTGGAAATGCTCTCTTACGCTGCCAATCAGTGTCGATGGAGTGGTCATGCCCAGCAGCTCAGGCGAGGAGGAGAGCTGCTCACCCATGTCTGGCTTCTTATGGCACATCTGGGTTTAACTGAACAGTTCCAAATTTCAGAGGGCCATGCAAGGGCAAAACTGATTGTGGAGTAAAAAAAAAAAAAAAAAGAAAAGAAAAGCGGATAGGACACAATTCACTCTGAACTTTTGAAATTATGTGTTTAATTCCTATAGTTTCTTTTCTTGTTTTGAGAAGAACTATTAATAACTTAGTGTGGCTCCTCTGGTGTTTGCCTCAACTCATTGTTAGACACATTTCACTAACTTTAATTTGACTCACTTCGGTCTGATTTGGTATCGGAGACACTGAAATTTTTGGTGACAAAAAAATACGTGTTTATAGGTAATTCATGAAATTTTTGGTATTCTTGTTTTGTTCGTCACAGCAAATTCACATTCACATTCTTGGGAATAACTTACCTGCTCTACTTCATTTCTGGAACAAGATTCTTGTAAAAGAAAAGATGAACAAAGGATAATGGTCTGAAGTCAGACATTGATTACAGCCCAATTTACGAAATATAAAATCAAAACGTCGTTTCTCGGCAAGTTCCAGCCAGACAAGTCGTCCACAAATAAGCCAATTCTAACCCATCATTCGCATTACTTGACCAACTGGTCAAATCGAGTTTGCAAATTTTTACGAGAAAACAATGTTCACACTTTACAATGCAAAGCACATGCATACTGCCGAAGGTGTTTGCAACAGCTTCCAGATTACTACATTATAAAATGACTTCTGTAATAAATTATTCTTCAATGACTTTAGTTTTTAGTTAATTACATTTCACACTATGAAAGTTTCGGGTGCTTTTCAAATAGAATTTCCCTAAACTTCATTTTAAAGCTCCACGCCACTTCAGTCCAAAATATGGTTGAACCCATGAACACCACTTTTCCAACTTCTACGAAGTTTGAATTGAACCCACTGCAAATTGGGCAATTTGTTTTCTTTAATCGAAACTGCTAAGACAAGCAGGCAGGGAAGTGATCATGGAGAGAAACCATGCAGAAGCAGCTGTTGCCCAACTCAGACCCACTGAAGCTCCAGCTTCTGATAATGATCGATATATTGCTATTATTTTGTCTATGGCTAGTTTGGCATACAAGAAGGAGAGCGTAACCAAGTCCTCTGCATTCATTGATTCCATTCTGAAAAATGCTCGGTTTTTTGTAATATTTGTTGTGTTCCTTCTTTGCCGTTATGTAAATCATATATCAATGTATCAAGTGCTCTTCTTCGTCTCTCTGACCCCTTTGCTACTCTACTTCTACATCAAGCATGTGCCGTTTATGTTCTTAGAGGAAGACATCAAGTGGATTCGAAGAGAATCGAGGCTCCTGGATGCTATTGCAGAGGATGCAGCAAAAGTTATGCACTTAAGGGATCATATAGGTACAATACAACAACAAATCTTGGATCCCAGGATTTACTCTGTTGAAGTACCTATAAAAGGATTGGATCAGTCTGAGGTAGCGTGGTTGACCAAAACCATATCAGTGGTTCGAAAAGCAAAAGACCTATTCAAAACTTTTGAGAAGCAGAGAAGAGACTCCCACATGATATCTTTTGTTGCAATGACTACAAAGAATTTCATGGATATAGAAGGGCTGTTCATTGAAACTAAGCGCGTGAAGGATGACATAAACGAAACCATTTCGATGAAGAAGGTACATGGGATTAACATATGTGAATCGCTGGAGAGATCAAGGTCTATTATTAGAAGCCTGCTGGAAAGACCGATTTATGAGCACGATCAAGAACAACGGGTGGATTTCAAAGGACGAATTGCCTCTGTAGCTGCTTTGACTTCCTCTATTGTTAACACAATAAACCGCCTCACCCAACACCCAGCATTACTGCGTAAGAGTATTGGAGAGCAAATAGACTCAATAAAACTGCAATTGCTACTTCTGCATCCCTTTCTGAAAGAAATAGAAGGACTTCCTTTCGAAAGTGAAATCGAGGGGGCATGGGTGAAGGAAGTGGAAGAGGTTATTCAAGAAGCAGATCTTGCCATCAACAACTTCTCACAGAGGCCTGCAAACCGAATCAGTAGTTGGAAGGCAAGAAGAAAGCTCGAGGGGGACTTGAGGTGCGTTGGCACTGGATTTGCAGAACTTTTAAAGAGGAAGGAAAGATATGGCTTCGAATTTATAAGAAGAGATTCGTCGAAGTTTGTCTATCAATCCCCACATCACAATACCAGTGATGACAAGATTATTACATCTTTAGTCGACAGGATGTACAGCCACCTCAATCACAAGTCAGATGCATTGGGTGAAGTATTTTATGAAGTCACCTCGCTATGCAATCAGCTGAAAGGCATGTATAAACTTGTAGACGATGCAGGAATGGTTGGAAGCCGATTTAACTCCAGAGTGGCTTGGCTGAAGCAAATGAGGATTATTGTTCAAAGTGCTGATAAATGTGTGCAAGCCTTCATAGACGACTCATGTATTATAAGGAGATCAAACCATCTATTTAAAACAAGAGCTGGGATAAAGCTTTGCCGTGAAATTGACAGAATCCAGCATACTATCAGTCTTGTTGTGAGAAGCGTAAAAGCATACGGCATTGAATTGAGGGAAGAGTCAAGCTCAGTGGTCGGTTTGGAGGAAGACATCCAAGCATTGGTGTCACAACTGACAACCAACAGTGAACAACACTCTGTTATTTCCATTTTGGGCATTGAGGGCATAGGTAAGACAACATTAGCAAATAAAATTTTTGATCATGGAACAGTTTCGCGCCACTTTACTCGTCGTGTATGGATTTCTCTACCCTGGAAGTCCAATGTGCCTTGGGTCCAAGAGGTACATGATCTTGTAGATGAGGAGCGGTACCTTTTAGTCCTAGACAACATCTCCACAGTAGATGAGTTGAATACTCTTAGAGCAGGATTCATTCCAGTAACATCAAGCGGAAGCAGAATTCTATTCACTACACGACATAGTGATTTGGCTAAAAAGTTTAACAATACTCCTCACCAACTTCGACTGCGAACCAAAGAAGAGAGCTGGAAATTGCTTACCCAGATGGTGCACTTTTCTCCAAAAGAGGAAATGCTAGCAAAAGAAATTTTAGGTAAATGTGGGGGTTTTCCACTAGCCATCTTACGTGTTGGATATCTAATGTCTGGGGAAGATGTGACTGCTGTAGAGGAGTTAGAAGAGATGCTCGAAGACATCATAGAGAATGATCCACCATCGTTACAAACATACACCATAGATTCCATAAAACACTTGCTTCCTGAACATCTGTCTAAGTGCCTTTCTTACTTAAAGCTCTTCCCGTTGGACTTTGAAATTCCCGCAAGGAGACTAATTGCTTTGTGGCTGGCAGAAGGTTTGGTACAAGTGCATGGTAATAACACTATAACTTCTGAAGATGTTGCGGAAAAGTATCTATCGCAGTTGATTGGTTTAGGCATGATTCAAATTGTTGAACGAAAGCTTAATGGGGAAGTCAAGACGTGTAGATTACCCTATTCTCTACCTGTCCGCAGCTTGGAGGCTACAAGTTCAAATCATAGAGTTGCTCTTCGTTTTAAAAGAAATGATCTTCCAATTACGGTCAGCGAGAGCTTATCAAAAGTTGCAAGCCCTCTTCTTTCTATTCTCTCCTTTGATACTCGAGAAGGAAATAAACCTGGCGAAGAAATAGGCAACTTTCTTCATAAAGTAATTGCAGATGGTTGCTTCCGACCACTTCAGGTTCTTGATCTTGAACGTGTATTCAGACCTGAATTCCCCAAGGCGATTGGGAAACTAAGCAACCTGAAGTATCTAGGCTTGAGGTGGACTTACCTTCAATCAATCCCAACATTCATTGGCGATTTGCTAAAGCTCCAAACCTTAGATGTGAAGCATACAAATGTCCGTGCTCTCCCTAGTTCAATATGGAAACTACAGAAACTTCGACACCTATACTTAAACCAGAGTTGCAGAAGTAAATTTGTGTATCAACAAGGTGGCAATTCCCTGAAGAATCTCCAGACATTATGGGGTGTTTTTGTTGATAAAGACAGTCCTTTGAAAGATGGGTTGGACAAGTTGATCAGCCTCAGAAAATTGGGTCTGGCATTCCAGTTAGGCAAAATAAAGCAAGAACTAATAGCAGAATGGATTGGAAAGCTGAAGCACCTCAAGTCTTTGAGAGTTAGATCAGTTGGTGAAACGGACGAATCCAGTTATATAATTTTCATGCCTTTGTCTGGTCTCATCAATCTGTCCAGCCTAAATCTTAATGGAAAGCTAGCTCCTCCCATTGTAGCTGAGTTCCCCAAAAACCTCACTGATCTTACTTTGTCAGCCTCTCTTCTTCCAGATGATCCAATGCCCGAGTTAGAGAAACTCTCTAACCTTAAGTTACTCTGTTTTTACTCCAACTCTTACACAGGTAACAAGATGCTTTGCTCTGCGGGAGGCTTTCCACGACTAGTAGTGTTGAAGTTGTGGAATCTAGAAAAACTTGAAGTTTGGCATGTGGAGGAAAAGGCAATGCAAAGTCTCAGAGAGCTCGAGATAAGATCCTGCACAAATCTGAAGGTCCCGAGTGGGTTGAGGCACCTAAAGTCTCTGATCGAATTGAAGTTAACTAATATGCCAGAAGGATTTACAGCAACCATTGCGCAAACCAAGGCTCAACTTTGGGATGACCTTAAGCATTCCCCAGCAATCACTGCAGTTAACTGGCACCCCATGCTGAGGAAATCATAGGCTTCCACTCATCTACGCATAACGCATGGTATGTCTTGTTTTTATTTTTTACCTTCTATTTTCAGATGGAAACAGTCCTTGAACAAATATTTGTGTACTGAATAAGTGATTGGAGGAAACCGGAGGGAACTCATGGATAACCTTGATCATCACAGATATGTGTATGTAATTTATCTGTGGCGTGCTTACCATGTGCTATTTCACATAGCACAACAATTAGCAGTATTTGCTGTTAATATATTTTGCTTCACATTCGAAATGTGCACCGACATTAGTCCAATGTTGGTGGTTGATTAATAGTTGCCATGGAGCCTGCGACTTTTGCAGTTTGATATCTATGACTGTAGTGATCAAATTTGGATACCAATATTTCCAAAGTTTTGAGGTTTAAACCAACATTTTCAATTTCCTTTTTTTTTTTGGAGGACTTTTCTTACTAAGAAGAGCGATAATAATAATGTACTAAATTCACCCACTACGCGGATGCTAAGATTCGAATCTAGGACTTTGCCTCAAGGAGCAATTGCTCCACACTACTACACTAGTGAGTAATTTTTTCTTTCTTTGGGTTAGAAGACAATGCTCAAACCCTTTTGGCCCACCCTTCCTCAAGGATGGTCCTCTTGGATAGGGTTTGTCATTCCCGGGCCTTTTTTTTTTTTTTTTTTTTTTTTTTTTTTTTTCCGAGCCGAGGTTTCAAAGGCCTTGGCTCTGGTCGGGCCTTTATTTTATTTTATTTTATTTATTTTTTTACAAAGTCTTTAAATTTTTTTTTTTACAAATTTTTAGACAAAAATGAAAAACTTAATTTAATTCATAATATGTGAAAAAATTAGTCACTTCCTCAAGCGAGCTGGACCTATATCTAACTCGGGCTCTTGTAAGTGGGCCCCAGAGACATTTTGGGTACAACACTGTTGACTGATTACTTGCACAATAACCCTATTAGAACCTCGCAAGTGCTTTGTGACATATATTATTCCGACTCTCTAACCATATATAAAAGAAATTTACCATGATCTAAGTCATTAGATGAAAATCTTCAACCCATTGATCACTTTTACATACACATGATTACTTATCTATCTACGTTGCCACAAGATATTTTATTTTGATTTTTTGGTAAAAAATTCTATTTGTTTTAATTTAATTTGAATGTTTATTGTTAACATCTCCTCCTCACAAAACTATTACAAAACAACGTTTCAGTTTCGATATAAATTATTTATAACACTAATTTAACACATTAAGAAGTAATTAAAAAATGACAAGCGACTAATTTTGTGTTTTTCTCTCTAAATAGGCTCTATATGAGTTTTTGTATAATACGTCATGCTAAAATGAGTTTTTGAATAAATATCTCATCTATTTTCCTTTTCAGATAGCTATTTGATACTTTCTTTCTATTCAACGAGAGACCATACGTTGGCAGCGGGTTTGTAGAAATACCACAAATAATTGATCTCTTTCCACATATCTCTCATTTTATAATCTTTGTGATTAGTTAACTTTGAGCTTATAGTCAATTAGGAAGGAGCCAAAGAGTTATGCCTAATATCAATTATTTTAGTATTTAATTTTTGTTCGATTCCATGGATAAGTGTGAATGCCAAGCTGGAATGTAACACAGCACAAGAAGATATAGTAGTTGCAAAGAGATCAGAAAAAGCTTAACTAATTATATATTCTGCGTTTTTGGGCTGGAAAAGGGAGGCCAAGGTTTTTGTCAACGATCCCGACAAAATTAAGCGTCAATAACAAATACTAGTAAATGTATAATCACTATTTCAAGTCGTCTTTCTTTAATTCCAATTGATTGTAAAGCTCATAAATAAGCTAGCTACTGCTTGCAAGTTGCAGATCATAATGTCTATAAAACTGATTTCCTATTTCTGCAGCTTTGGTTTTTCAAGTGGAGTTGCTGCGGAACTCTTGTTAGATTCTGTTTGTCTTCCCTTCGTATAGCTTTGTGGTAAGTTCTATCTAAGTTTAAGCTCTCCTAATCTCTCTCTCTCTCTCTCTCTCTAGATGGATTCAACTCATATAATCTGTACATAATTTTGATCATGACATCGTCTATTGTTTTAGTGGAATAAACTTTTCCGGAATTAGTGTTCAAGATTTAGGGTTGTTGAAGTAAAAATAAAAATAAAAGATTTTATTTTAATATTCTGAAATGTTTCATCTTTTTCAGGACCAACGAAGACTTTGGTATTGGATTGAAGGAATTCGTTGGATCTTTTTATAGTTTTCGCGATGGCATCCTCATATAATATATATGTCTGACTTAGAGGAAAGCGTTCCCCTAAGGTTAATCTCTCTATATCATTTATATATATATATATATATATATATATATTTTAATGATTTTTTAGCCAGAGATATCTTGGCATATTTACGTTGACGGTGTTATGTATATATAGTTAGTTACATGATAATATATTCGTAATTTCGTGTGTGGTCGCGGTCTCCTTGGATCCTCTCTTCCTTTATATTCCAATCATCAATGAAGAAAACAAGTGCCTTGGAACGGACAAAAAGCTGAGGAATGCAGCTCTTGTTTTACGCTCACTTACAGATATCATTTTCGTTGTGCGTATTGTACATCAAATTCGAACCAAGCTTGAGGACTCTGAGGAACCAGCCGAAGGAAGGGAGTCATTGGGATGGAAATGGAGGCCCTTGTTATGTGTCCCTCTCATAATTGACTTGCTCGCCATTCTTCCCATCCCACAGGTATTTGAGTAAAAAGTATATATATACCGTAAATTTTTTAGCCTTGGACATTATTTGGTGAAAAAAGTTTTGGAAAAGCTCTAGCATCTTTAGTATTATTGCAAACTTGTGTTGAATCTAACCTATTGTCATTTGTCCAGTTGGCAATAGTTGTTGTGTTTTTCAGAACGAGGGGCTCTGGGTATTTACAAAAAATAAACATTTTGAAAGCCTTTCTACTCTTTCAATATGTGCCAAATGTTTACCGACTTCACATATCCAGTGAGAAACTTCAAAAGAAGGAAAGATGGATTAAAGGTGCATTCAATTTTTTTTTTATACATCCTCGCGAGTCATGTAAGTTTCATCTCCATTTCTATTAGTACTTCTTTTTTATATTCCCTTTATTATCATAATTCTGCCTGAATTATTGATTGACTAACCAAATGATTCATTTTTACAATAACTGCATGAAGACCTCCCTTATTTTAAACTTGGATTCATAACTCACATATTACGATTTATTTATTTATTTTTTGTTTAGTGGAGTTACTCAGTTTGTTTTTTATTTTTTATATATCTCCGTAGAATGTTGTTCCAATTATTAATAATTTGTTAGTATATTTTAGGTACTTGGAGCTTTTTGGTACTTTTTTTCTATTCAACGAGAGACAACAGGTTGGCACCAAGCATGTAGAAATACGGAAGACTGCAGAGCTTCTCGTTATTGCAATGAGATAACTTCAAGAAATATCACATTCATAAATGAATTTTGCCCTATAAATCCATCAGATCTTTCGCTATTTGATTTTGGAATGTACCTTGATGCCCTTCAGTCTGGTAACAAAGGACCAGTAAATTTTCCAAGAAAATTCTTTTGTTCTTTCTGGTGGGGAATCAGAAATCTAAGGTTCGTATAAATGAATATAATTAAATCACGAAGTTTTTTTGTCTCATTAGCTATTCAGTTATCTATGATGCACAGGACCTAGGTTTTTCTTTCTAGAATAAGAACAAGGTTCATATATAATTAGATTATATATGCCATTATCTTGTCTCTCATGTAACATTAATTTTGCAGTAATTTTGGGACGAGTCTCGAAACGAGTAGCTACGTGTTCGCAATTCTTATTGCTGTTATTGGCTTGCTACTCTTTTTATATCTCATAGGAAACTTGCAGGTTGGTGATGAATTAATAATCTATTGATATATTCATATTCCATAAAAGAAATGATATCTTGATGGACCCAACGTTGATGGATCAAGCTTCATATATTGGACACACGTACAAACTATGATATAGTGATGCTCATTTACGACTTGATGAACATGATCATCGACATTTTCTTCTTTTTTTGTGAAACAGACATATATGCAGTGGGCAGCCGCAAAAGCGGAAGAGCAAAAGGAGGACGACTTAAGAAAGAGGATTAAGATGAAAGAGGACAGTATAGATGACTGGATGTTGAAACATGGTCTCCCTCAGGATTTGAAGAAAGAAATCGTGGATATTGTTTACTAGTATATGGTCTTAGTATTTCTTTTGGTTTTCAAGGGTTATAATGACCTGCATGCGGTTGTTTATATTTCAGGACTAACATTCAGAATACTAATATGGTACTCAAAATAGATGTGTGGAGGAGTATCCTAAGGTTTGAGGAATTTAGGTTTATTGGTTTTTATTCATTATTATTGTTTTCCTACGTTCATTAATTCATGCCTATTGAAGTAAATGAAAGAAACAAACTGAAAGCCCCCGATTGTTTATTGTTTTCTTTTTTCCCTTGTGACAAGCTTTATTTCTTATAAGGGAGGTGACAGATGAGGACGATTTAGACAGTAGTCGTAGAAGGAAAGGAAGACCAACTATCAATAGATCCTTTCTTCTTTTACATTCTAATCATTGATGAGGAGAAAAAGTGCCTTACCATGGACAGAAAGATATTTACATTATCGTGTTTGCGAGCATTTTTTTAAATTCTTGCCATGTTGATCATACTGTTTTTTTTAAACAACGTCAGACTTAGTTGTTTTCAAAACAGATTCCTGAATTGATATATTTTCCTGGTTTGAAAAAAATGAAGATACATTTTCCTTGTTTTTAATACGACAAGGTGTCCTCACATTTGAAGTTTGGGATTAATCCCGCTAGGGGTTCAGCTTGTCCCTAGCCACAAAGTGTTCCCAACTGGATTCGAACCCCTGTCATTGAGGCGCCAGACAACCCACCAGCATGAGGAGGCAGTTTCAATCGCACCACACCTTGTGGTTATAGGATGGGGAT